CAGTTGCAGGTCCCTGAGCCTGGATAAGTCACCCGAGAGTCCCATGAAGTTCCTGAGAACAATGATCAGGGACATTAACCAGCTTGGGAAAGTTTCTAGAAGGCAGCGCCACCAGCCCGAGGCACAGGTACCCTTGCCAACACTCCCAGATTAGAACAGGTTCTCTTGGACTCTCTCCAAGGGCCTCTGACTAACAGGAAAGTATTTTTCCATCACAAGCACTGCAGGCAGGCCTCAGACTCCCGCGAGGCGAGGACAGAGCACACTCCCAGATGCCGGCAGAGGCTCTGTAAAGGCACGCTGCCCTGCCCTGGCTAAGGACTGCCACTGGGGGAGTCCGTCTTAGGCAGCATTTCTCAGCCGACAGTCCCAACATTTGGAGCTGACTAGTTCTGTTGTGCTGGGCTGCCCTGGCAATCCGGGTGTTGAGCAGCATCCCTGGCCCCTGCCGACTAGACTGGGTGGTCAGAAAAATCATGATGCGGGACCAGCAGTTAGCGTAATGGCTATGTCACTGGACTCCCATGTAGTCGACCACAGTTCGAGTCCCGCACCCAGTGGCTTAAACTTACACCGGGTGTGTGTGTGTGTGCGTGCCCAAGATCCCAAGAGGAGAAAGGAGGAGAAGAGATTGTGGCGTGGCCAGGCCCCCTGGGGGGTGATTTCTTGCTTTCTGTCTCTCTGTCTCTGTCTGTCTGGCGATCGCACATGCCCTATGGCAAAATTCTCTCCAAAAAAAAAGAAAAGAAAAATCATGCGTTTTTGCATAGAAAAATACGTCATGACTTTTCTAACAGCCTAATTGTTTTAGGGCATAAACTCATTTTTATTTTTGAGAGATTTTTGCTATAGAGCATGTGTGCTCCCTAGAGAGACAGAAAGACAGAAATCACCTCCCAGGGAGGATGGCCATGCCACAATCCCTTCTCTTCCATTCTCCTCTCGGGATCTTGGGCGCACATGCACACGCACCTGGAGTGAGTTTTAAGCCGCCAGGTCCAGGACTCAAACTGCAGTCAACTATGTGGGAGTCCAGCAATGTAACCATTACGCCATCTGCTGGTACCTAAATTCATTTTTTGACCAATATCACACCACTAATGCTCCCCAGAATGCCACTGAGAGCAGCCTCGGTGCTGATGTGACCTGCAAGGACGTCTCAGGAATCCATCGCCAATGAAGTCAAAAGCGCCATGTTCACTAATGAGCTACTTCTGACCCTGCAAGGAAATCCTGTTCCCATTACCATGAGCACCGGAGTCTGATTAAATGGAAGCCCTGGGTGTTTCTTCTCAATGACACAAGCCAGGGCCAGCTCTTCCACTGCTGCTGGAAGAAACATGAAAGTGTTGACTCAAATAGCGGGAGACTCCCATTGACCCAAAATTCAATACCACAACCAGGACTCTCAACATCCTGGACTTCAGAAAAGGGGAAAGTGACAGTAAACATAAACACGCAATCAGGATTAACAAGTTAATTAAACGGCGGAAGCGTTACCAAAAAACCGTGCTCCCAAGTGGAGGTGGAGACCTGAAGCCGAGCTCCGGAGCAGCTGGAGTGACTCAGAGAGTATCAGAGACGTGGCTTCCGACCTCCCATCCCCACGGCTGGGCAGCTGGCCCAGACATGGCAACCAGCGCCAGCTTCACAGGCAAAATCAAAGAAGCAACATCTCTGTCTCTCCTCAGTCTGCTAACTGGTGAAAGGGTTTACGGACAGACTCAGCTAGCTCCTACGTGACAGCCAGGGTATCATCCACTCCAGTTCCCTGGAGACCGAGCCACCATGAACCGCCCCCCGGGTGACACTCAGTTACTCAGATGCTGCTAGGTTCGGTGCTACTTTGCTCTTGGCACTTACTCTCCTACTGCACGTCTCATAATAGAATCATACTGAAATTCCATCACAGGTTGACCTCCTTCAGTGGACAGGGGACCCCTTACAGCCGGTTCTGCATCTAGCAGGGCCATGCTATCATGACAGACCCTCAGCACTGCTGTGACGGAATGGAGGGACACACAGACAACATGTTTTCCATCTCCGCATTCTTCAACCTAAGCTTATCTAGTAAGACGCCACGACCTGTGTCTTCTCTCCTCCATTTCTCCATGGCTTGGCATACATTCAGTAGGTGCCCAATAAATATGTTTATTATTTATTTATTTTTGTTCTGAATGGGCTTATTTTACATTCATTCCTTGTGCATCACTGCAGCAAAGAGAATGAGTTTTCCCATCCAGAATACACTATTGGCTCCATCGAAGATACTACCATACGTGTTAGCATCAACGAGTAATTTTCCATTTCTTGTTTCTTATATATTTTACTTCTTTCTTTTCACTTTGGTTCGCTGCCATTTCCCACCCTCCTGCCTGACTTGGTTGGACATCCAGAGGGACACATCATACCTTCTGTCCATGAACCAGTGAGTCCAGGAAGGAGGTCAGGAATCCTAGCCCTCGGGGCCAGCAGGTGGCATGCTGGTTAAGGTGCTGGACTCCCACATGGCAGACTGCAGTTCAAGTCCTAGACCTGGAGGCTTGCTTTCTCTCTCTCTCTCATTCTGGTCACATACAAATAAATAAATAAAGCTAAATAAAATAATTCTTTAAAAAAGAAAAAAGAAACCCTAGCTCTCCACCTTGGCTTACATGCAATGGGGTATGTTTAGTCTCTTTTAACTAGAACAGTTTGATGCAGGAAAAGGACACTCTCTGATAGACAACGGAGATATGCGAGTGGGCAAGACTGACGTGGTGGCCTCTCTCCCAAAGCTTATGGTCTGGAGGAGAAGACAGGCATCACAGTTACCCTCAGGGAGCTACTGTGCTCAGTGAGTCTCTTTAAGTAAAGTTTCTGCAGAGGGCCCCAATCACAAGCAGCCGGGACCTCTTCGAGGAAAGTCCTAACTTTCCTCCACAGTATGTCGCACGTCCCCCACGGCGTACTCTGCACTGGTAACAGGCAAAGTCTGTCCCACACCTTGGCTGCATCGGCCTCTCTGCCAAAACGACATAAAATTTTGAAGACCAATCAAAAGCATCACAGATATGAATGCTCATAAGTCCGTGCTTGTGTGTACAAATGTGTAATATGTGTGACTTACCAGAGGAAACTGAAGCTGACCTGAAAACTCATAAAAACAGAAATTCCTGAAAGAGCAGTCACCACCAATCTGGGAGTCAAGAGACATCGTGTAACTGGCAAGCAGGATAAGAGTAGTCAAGGGGACCCCTAGGGAGTCCTGAAGTTCAGAAGACCCTGACATATTAGCAGAATTAAGGATTATGGAGGGCCAACAGGTGACTTAGCGGTTACATTGCTGGACTCCAACATGGCTGACCATGGTTCAAGTCCCAGACTCGGTGGCTTGAAAATCATGCCAGGCATGTGAGCATGCATGCCCAAGATCCTGGGAGGAGAATGGAGGAGAAGGGACTGTAGTGTGTCCACCCACCCTGGGGGGTGATTTCTCACTTTCTCTCCACTATCTCTGTGTCCCTGACCCCTCTACCCAGCACACATGCCCTAAGACAAAAACCTCTTCAAACAAAAAAGGAATTACAAATCTGTCTGGGGAACTCTAAATCAGCAGGAGCTCTGAGAAGGCAGAGAGGAAAAGGGGCCATGAAAAAACAAAATCCAAGAATAAAGTCTGGAATATGAAAGCCAGGAAAGGAGAACTGTCTTAAGTGAAAGATGAGAATGAGACTCAGGAAAAGATGAAGATGTCCAAAACAATGTGGCATGATATGGTAACACCTAAGGGAATGGATCAGAGTCTGAACTGATGCATATACTTTATCAGAATGGTAAAATTTTAAGTCAGAATACCGTGCCAACTATGATTCAATCTTGAAGTATTTATCTTTTCTTACAATAGAGAGAAACAGAGAACAGAGAGATAGGAAGTGAGAGATCACCCCTCCCCCCCAGTGGGATGGCCTTGCCACAACCCCTTCTCCATCCCTCTCGGGATTTGGGGCATGTATGTGGCATGTTTTACAAGCCACTGGGCCCAGAACTCGAACCATGTATTAGGCCATGTGGGATCCAGCCACTTTAACCACCATGCCACTGGCTGGCCAAAACTATTCATCTTTTTTTTTTGAGAGGTGTTTGCCATAGGGTATGTACACTTGCTGGAGAGGAGACAGAGAGAGGGAAAGTGAGAAATCACTGCCTAGGGGAGATGGCCATGCTGGAATCTCCTCTCTTCCATTTTCCTATTGGGATTTTGAGCACACACACCTGCCCAGCATGAGTTTTAAGTGTGGTTGACCACATGGGAGTCCAGTGCCTTAACCACTATGCCTCCTGTTGGTCCTCAAAGTATTTAACTTTACATTTTCTGATGCCTTTAATTTAGGCTCAGGCAGAAAGGCAAATACAGTCCTTTCCTCCACTATGACAAGGCAAGGACTCCCCCAACAACCTGGACACGTTTTGGGGTGATGCTTGCAGAAATGAATTCCTTCTCAAAATATGGTTCTCAGGGGAACCAGCAGTTAGTGTAATGGCTATGTCACTGGACTCCCACGTAGTCAACCCCGGTTCGCATCCCAGACCCGGTGGCTTAAAACTCACGCTGGGCGCGTGTGCATGCATGCCCAAGATCCCAAGAGGAGAGTGGAGGAGAAGGGATTGCGGCTTGGCCATCCCTCCTGGGGGGTGATTTCTCGCTTTCTGTCTCTATGTCTCTGTCTGGGGAGCGCAATGCGCCCTATAGCGAAAATCTCTCCAAAAAAAAAAAAATATATATATATGGTTCTCAGGACCAGAAAGAGCTAACCTAACCCAGGTTTTCTTTTTTGGGTGCAAACCTGTGATGCACAGGAGAAAAATCACAGATCTGGCTGATGGCAGAGTAAGATCCCAGGTCCTCCCCTTCCATCCTTACAGCTTCCAATCCAAATTCAAATCCTGGGCTTTCATGGCTGTTGAGACCGGTGACTCCCCACTGCTTTCACCAACCCCAAATCCTCTGCTGTTCTCACCTGTCTGAGCAACCAGGTGTGTCCACCCACTCCAGACGGCTGTGACCTTTTCATTCTGAAAACAACGCTTCTCTATGTTCTGGGGCGTGGGAAGGAAGGCGGCCTGGGCTGCGAGCTGCCCGTGCTTGTTGCTCCCCCAAACATACAGCTCTCCTGCGCCTTCAACAGACGGAAGAACAAAAGGTGAAGAAACATTAGTCCAGGATGGCGAGAAATGATACAAGTCTAAAAACGAAGCGATGAAAAGAAGGTGTTTCAGGGTCAGCAGGTGGCATGGTGGTTAGGGATACTGGACTCCCACATGGCCAACCACAGTTCGAGTCCCGGGCCTGGCGGCTTGCTTTCTCACTTTCTCCCTCTCTCTCTCCTGTCTCTGGTGACATTTAAATAAATAAAGTTAAATGAAGTACTTTAAAAAAAAAAAAAGTATTTCTTTTTTCAATTGTGAATGTTCTCAGCAGTTTCAGGAATAAAAATGTGTCATTTTTTTTTCCATTCAATATCTATTTATTCTGCATCTACCATATGTAAGATATGTCTCTATTTTTAACATTTTATATCAGGTTATTGGAAAAAGTCACAATGCATTTTTGCTACAAAAACATGAAAAAATATATCATGACTTTTCCAGCAACCCAATAAATATTATATAAGCTTACGTTTCTTTTGTTAGGAAAGTTTTCATTTTTTTTTTTTTAATTTGCCAGAGGGTGCATATGTTCACCAGACAGAAAAAAGAGGGAAAGCAAGAAAGCATTCCCCACGGAACACAGTCATGCCCCAACCTCTCTTCCCCCATTTCCCCTCCTTTCAGGATTTTGGGCATGCACACACGTACACAGCATGTTTTCCAAGCTGCCAGGTCCAGGGCTTGAACCTCACAGTCAGTCATGTGGAATCTAGCTGCCTTAACTATCATGCCACGGGCTGTCCCCCTTTTAACTTGTTAATATTACAGGTTAAAATATAAATTATTGGGACCAGCAGTTAGCATA